CTGGGCCTTGTCCTGTTCAAGGGTATAGGACCCCATTCTTTCAAGGTTCAGACATCAAGTGCTTGGGATTTAGGGCTCAGGATTTCGGGTGGCCCTGAACGCTACATCCTGAACCCGAAATTGGGGTTGAGAGCTTGGCCCCGAAGCCCCTGTTTCTGCAGTAGGGCACGGCACAACACTATCCCAGGTATGACGCACCAACATGGCCTTAAGACAAAGTCCTCGCTACAGCCTGCTACAGGGGCTACCAGAAATCCCTCCAACCTAAACGCCCCATCTGGAAATGCGGCAGCGGTAGTTTGCATGTTCTTTCTCCACTATCCCTACATTACCCCTAAATACTCAGATCAGAATTTAGCACTATAGCTCCTCTATATGTGTAAAATATCTCCCTATAACATAACAGTTTCAACTAGTAACTAACACTAGTCAATCGTAGTAAAAACAGTCATTCAGCAGTGGTCGGCTCGCTTGACAGCGAGCCCTTTCATTCCAACCGCAGCAAGAGTTTCATGTTTCAAGCCGCTCTATTTTTGGAAAACCAACTTGTTGAATTTGTTTGGCGTTTAAACTGGTACTACAAAAAGCTGAAAAGCGCAGTTCACTGTCACTTCAACGGAGTTCCCTTGCATGAACTTCCTGGCCGCAAGCTTCAATTGCCTGGCTTTAGCTTGGTTGGCACCCCGGCTAGGGCGCAATGGCTGCTTGGGGCTGCTAACGCTTTTCGAGTCGGTTAGCGCCGTGGAACTTTACAAGGATATACTATCTCCAGTTTGAAAAGCCAATAAGCAGAACAAACGCGATGATGTAGCTCAGGAGTTATGCTAGCCCCTCAATAGAGTCCGTTTAAGCACAGTTAACTACCCACCAAAAAATGCAATGAGAACAACAAATAGGGCTTTCTTTCACAAGGGCCGCCTCAGGCACTTGAGAAAATATAAGAGGGTCACAAATCATAATCTTCTCCCCTGATGGATTCCTGGCCTCTTGGTAGCTATACGAGCCTGAGCGCATTGCAGATTTTTTGATGCTGCGCACGCGGCGTTGTGCAACTGGATGCGGCGCACGAGTCGTGGGGATGAGGACGGGATTTCGGGTTGGGGGCTTAAGGGGAAAGAGCCCGACCCGTCTCTTCTACCTAGCTGGCTACCCAGACCCCTGGGAGGATCTAAAAATTAGATCCCCTATATAGACCCACTATAACCCCTATATAATACTGATATAATTCCCCCTATGATTCTAGGGGATCTAATTTTTAGATCCTTTTGGGGGTCTGGCTATTCAAGGAAGCTACGGATGTCCCCTGGAGCCCCACCCGACCCCACGACAAAAGTGTGCCACCCAGCCACCAATACACGTACAAAACGGCAGGGAAGTGAGCTTGCTCATCAGCGAATTTAGGGCCACTGCATCAATCCACCGGGACTCCAATTGCTCAATGCCAAAAGTAAGTGGGCTTTGCTTAAGACCGGCACCCAGACATGATTGTTCAAGATTGTTCAAGAAGTGCTCTTTCTAAACAAAAGAAGAGAAAGCAGCAACACGTATTCCAAATTACTTCCTATAGAAATGAAGTTACGCACGCTTCTTTACAAAAGGATCTGCCCTGCAAAGCGACTTGTTGTCTCCGCATACCCGGAGGGAGTTGTGAGCTTCATAGGCCCCAGGTTAGCGCGACTGAGAACGCGTCTAGGCGCAGAAAAGGGAAACGTGAGAAGCGCTGTGCTGCAAGGCTTGTCAAGTGCCATGACGCAGGACTGACTCGATGCATCCTCTTTGCTAGGGGTCTAGGTTTAAGGGTTTAGGGTTTAAGGCGACCCCTCGCAGATTTAGAGCCCTATTAGGCCTTATCAAGAGCTGTATAATCCTTATTCGCTCCTTAAACCCTGGAGCGGGTATAGTCCCCCTTAAGTAGATAGAATATGGGGTATATGGGGATCTTACTATAATATACCCATTATTATGTTATATCTACCTATCTACTTAAGGAGGACTATACCCTTTGGGGGGGATGGTACTTTAATCCACTACTTTGGCGATCCTGAACCCCATTTGCCACTGACGGATGAGAGATTCTTCACCACTGTAGGTGTCAGAATTACTATCGGGAATCTATCGGGTTTAGGGCTGGGTTTGCGGTTCAGTGTTTAGGGCAAGAGGAATGAACCCGAACCCTACGCTCCAAGCAAATTACTAAACCCTAAACCCTAAAACTCCCGAACGGAAGGCCTGAAGATGTAAATCTGAGGGGCCGCCAAGTAATCTCCTCGCCCTACTGGTAAAATCCAATACAATTCCAAACTCCCCAGGTTTAGGGTTTAGGGTTTGGGGTTTAGGGGGTTTAGGGTTTAGGGTGTATACGGGTAGTTCCCAAAATTAGGGTCCCGTTTTGGTATGCTGAGAATTTGGGGAAAAACCGAAAAAATGAACCTGCACCGTATATCCTAAGGCCTACACCCCTAAATCCTAAATGTTACATCGCTAAACCCTAAGCCCTAAATCGTACTACCCTAAACCCTACGTGAACCCTAAACAAGTAAGATGCCACGTCATGAACCACTGGCTTCAGCATGGTGCACCATCTCTGCCACAGTACGGGCTTGGGCTTAGGGACTTTAACTCCAGCTATACACTCTGAGTCTGAGTGGCCAAGGAGCAACTAGGGTTTAGGGTTTAGAACTTATTCAGAGAGAACTTGACCAGCACTCCCAGCGTGAGGGCTGTATGGGCACCATGCGATACGGAGTGCCAGCAGGGCAAAGATCCGAGCAGCTTGTAAAGGATACCGGGGGGCTTCTTGAGCAAGATTTTGGACGATTGTCAAGATCGTGACTAGGCTTCTGCACAAAACCACTTCTTAGGGCTCCGCACTTCTCCCAGTCCTCGCAGCAGTTTGCAGGTTTTGAAGGTCCTATCGTTACATAGATGCGTTACACTTTGCGGCTATCTACAAAAGGGCTATGGCCCTTCTGATGGATTGGAGCCTTGTCAGGCCGAAGTCAGCTACACCTAGGTTCCCCAGTAAACCCTAAATAATAAGGGTACCCTTGTTCCTACTGTTCTGTTTTAATAAGGAGACCCCCAAATAAAAAGGGTAAAAGGGCACCACTGGGGTACCTAGACACACCTGCATGTAGCTGCACCGAACTCCGATAACAAGAATATGAGCAGCATGCGTTGTTGATAGCTAGGTCAGGTGCAACATTGCTACGAAGCCTAGCCCGGAAGCATGCCTCAAAAGTCTAGCAAAACGGTTGGGAACCTGCATGTTGTTGGGTGGCGCTTGTGTGGAGGGCCAATGCAAATTCATGATGCAAGTCTCGCCCAAAACCTATATATCATCCATATGATCCCCAATTTCCATTTCATGTTCCATGCCTTTTCCACTCGCGGGGTAATATCCCTGACCCTAAACCCTAAATCCCAAAGCCTGAAGGCTCAAGATCTGGGTCATTTTTTGAGGTGACTCGGTTGCCAGCTTGCTTCCGTTAAGTGAACTCAAGGTTTAATGTAGCTTTCAGTTTTTAAAGGGTTTAGGGTTTAGGGCTTAGGGCTCAGGGTTGAATTTTAAAGGGTTTAGGGCTTAGGGGTTTAAGGATTTAGGGTTTAGGGCTCAGGGTTTACAGGGCGCAGCCTTAGCAGCAACACAGCCTTGGGATTGGGATGTCTTGTGTCTAGGGGTGGAACTACAATGTTGAAGTGCCCTTGCAGCATGTATGGGGTATACATGGGAACCGACCTCAAACTCGACCAAAAATAATCTAATCCTGATTATAGGGGCACCCAGAAAGTTACAGCACCCCTGGTGTTGGGAAACCCTAAAACCCTAAACCCTACCCCAAACCCTAAACCCCAAATCCTAGACAGGGACATAAATTAAGGGTCCATCTAACACTTCCAACCTTACAGTGCCGATCTGTTGATGGAAGAGATACTGCATGACTTATTGTATGCGAGAATTAACAGGACTCTGAGGGTCATGCAAGACGTAGCGCATGAACATAACTACCCCTAGACAAGAATTTTTTATGGAGCTGCTCGTGGAGGAGTCTTTCCCTGCGCCTGTCCTGTCACTCGCGTCCTGCGGTGGTGACATGGAACTGGCAACTGCCGGGTCATAGATGCGCATGGCTTGGTGGGTGCCTATAGACTTCGTGCATCGCAGCATCTCTTGGGCAATGTCCTTCAGTTTAGGGTTTAGGGCTGTGGGGGGAATTCATGGAGAATTCGTCTTTCGAAGCCGTAACCCTAAACCCTATAAAGTTCAGCTAAGAGCTGCTCGAAATCGTGAACCTCCTTTTCGGGATCCTCGTAATCCGGGAGGTTGTGGTCTCTTGGGAAGCCTACTTTGTCGAAATACCCGTATGAGCTATAGTCTAAACTCCTTAAAGGGGGTTTATATAGGGATTATATAGGGGACTGCTATAAGGGTTATTAAGGGGGATAGAGAATGGCTCATATGGGTCCTCAACCACGAATGACCCTAAACCCTACTCCCAGATGGGTCCCCAAGCACTGCTTGGAGGGTCAGGGGGAGACTTCTTAAGTAGGTTAATAACCCCTAGAAGCCATATAATAACCCCAATTATCCCCATGACTAACCTACTTACTAAGTCCCTATGACCCTCCAAGTGATGACCCAGGCCTGTTTGCGTATAGTCCCCCTTAAGTAGATAGAATATGGGTTATATGGGGATCTTATTACAACATCCCTGAACCCTAAACCCTACTTAAGGGGGACTATAAACCCCAACAGTGCCCAGCAGGAAGAGATTCGCTGGCAAACTTAGACATGAACCATAATCCAAACGCCTTAAAGGGGGTTGTTCAAGGGATTATATGGGTGGTTGGCAAATTATGCTCCCTTTTATTGGGTACCCTAAATATTAGGTGCCATATTAAAATGGGCATCCAAAAAAAGACCATAATTTTGACAGCCACCCTTATAGGTACACTCCAAGTGATGACCCAGGCCTGTTAGCGTACTAGCCTGCACTCACTCAGCGTCGTCGAGACCTTGATCGTCGACCTCATGGCAGAAGTGGGAGATCCGGAGCTTTCTGTAACTCTCCAGCCATTGCCTCTAGGAACCCTAGATTTACCCTAAACCCTACTTGGGAGGCCAGGAGACTTAGTAAGCAAGTTAATAGTAGGGATAACTGGGGTTATTATATGGCTTATAAGGATTATTATTCTACATACCAAGTCTTCCTGACCTGCCAAGTAAACCCTAGATTTATGTGCGGAGTAAAGGGGACTTATCGAGGTCTCCCTTACGGCTTCTACCAAGTCTGTTGTGGAAATCCCTGATATTCCCTTGATGAACCAGCTCTCTCGGAACAAGGCGTGAGCGTGAGCGGGATCGGCCTCAGTGACGCGGCCAGGCATCATATATATACACCTTGGGTCCTGCTCCACCCGTTAACAATCTATACTAGAGGACATATGAATGGTTTTATAGCTCCATTATACGTATTTATTGACTGGGGGCAGAATCCAACATACACCAATGATGGTGAGTTGCGAATTTCTCCAACATATCTACTCCCACAGAATTCCTTGATGGGGAGCTCCGTCATGTTGACATTCACCATATTTCCCCGAAGTCCCCAAGAATCTTCCCATTCAGAGCCCTCCCCCATTTTGAGTTCTTGCAATTATGCGTTTTGCAGGCCTTCAGAGGTTTACAATTTACAGGTGCAAAAGTTCTAGTGCAGAAAGGTACTGAAGTTCATCTGATAGGCCCCTGGCAACCGCAAGTCTAGGACAAAGGAATTGCCTCAATTAGGTTTAGGGTCTAAGCTCCTTAAGACTTTAAACCCTGAACCCCAAACCCTAAGCCCTTCCAAGGAAATCACACATGAGATTCTTGAAGCATCCAAAATCCAGCATCCCCTGTTTCAGGGGTCCTTGCCTGGAGGCATTTTGACTTCGTAAGTATACTTAGTCACAGGGGTTATTTGGATTGTAAGGGATCCTAAACCTAGACTTTCAGCCTGAAATCTTGCAACGGATGTTAAGCCGAAAGATCACCCAAGTACTGGGGGGAAGCCCAGAACCGTCCCCCCCAGGACTAAACGGTTTCAGGATGAGGGTTAAGGCACAAGTTAACGTTACTAGGCACGCTCCCGAATAGTTTTTGCAAGTACGAGCAATATTGAATGTGAAGTTTGGCAGGGTGCTGGAGTTGTTTGGGTAAGCAAGTGCTTATGTCACGTCGATTGAGGAAAACCGTGAGCCCAAAACCCCAAAACGTTGAACCCTGGTCCCTAAATCCCAGAGCCCGGAACCCCAAAACCCGAAGCCCAAAAACCGTGCGCCCAAAACCCAATAAAGGCCAAACCCGTTCAACCCCAAACCCTAAAGTCTTGACTCTCAATCCGGTAGCATGGGCCAATCCCATATGTGCCCTAGTCTAAACTCCCAGTATCCCCCTTAATCAACCCCATAGCAGGAACCCTATATAATCCCTGTATAAACCCCTTGAAGGAATTTAGACTATAGCTCACGTGTGGATTTCTCCAACTTGCGGTCCCGATGGAACCCCAGGGATATTTGGGGATAAGGGTTTAGGCTTTAATGGGTTTACAGTATGGAGTATCTACCCATTTCTTGAGAAGCCATGATTTGATGATAAGCTGCCATATGCTTCCCCGGCGAAATTGCCCAGCCTGCTCATAATCTGGTACCTACATGGCCTGGCAATCCTGTATAAATGCTCCTCAAAGTTGGTCCCCCCCTGTTGAGGAATCTGGATTCCCCGCTGCAAAGCTACTACTCATGTGGCGATGTGTCAAACTCAAATGGGGGACCCACCTTGCTTCTTCAACTAGACATTTCCTAAACCCACATATAGGGGTTATCCAGGCTGTATGTAGAGCTATATAGCGGCTATATGGATATATATATATATCTCTGTATATATATTGGGTTTTGTAGGGATTATGTAGGGTCAGTATATACAATTCTCAAGACCCGTCAATTGTAGAAAGCCGGCAGCTGGGCAAGTGGCGGTCCCTCTCGCGTCCGCGATGCCGGTCTCACGTGATGACGGTTTACTTACTGGTGCTTGACGGGGAAGGAACAGGGGTGCTGCGGTTGGTGCTGAAAATGCTGCATGACCCTATGTACCCTAAAACTTGGGAATTGTCGCCCTATTGTATTTTAAATCATACAGGTTCTGCATCACCAGTATCCTAGAGGATTGGGGTTATATGAGGTCTTGAGGTTCCATTACAAGCTATAGCCTTAGACCCCTTCTCGTTTTGTAGCAAGTCAAAACGTAAACTTTTTTTCAACAATGACTGATGGCCAGTGGCCACTTGGGTCATTCCCTGGTGCATCCTTAGCCACGGCCAGTCGATGCAACGTACGTTCACGAACGTTTCTCTTTGCCCTGATTTCAGAATACCATGAGACACCAGCGCGAAATGCATGGTGGTAACAGACTAATGGATACATGGTACTTTCCCGAAATAGAGGGACCCCAATACAAACCCCCTAATTTTGGGAAACCCGCTCTATCCCGGCAACAACCTTGGGCGTTCTCTTGCCCAGCTGACAACCTAGTGGCTGTTAGTAGGGAATAGAAGAAATTGTGTAGGGCTTGTATAGGGCATCATATTCCCATATTTCCTACTAACGATCACCCGAAGGGTCCAAAGTAAAGTCATAATATGATAATTCCAAAGTATATGGCTATTGTATCATGGACCTTTATGCCCAGTAGGAAAGGCAAGCCTTGAAAGCAACCAATTGGGATGTACCTGACGTCAGCATCGAGCCACTCAATCCCCGGATCCAGCTCAAAAGCAGCACCCTAAAACTGTCATAAGATAGTCAGAGGCTTCTCTCCTGGACCATCCATTCTCGGTTTAGGATTTGGCAAAATAACCCCAATGAAAAGTCCCCATAACCCATCCAAAAAAGAGCCCTAGAGCCCGAAAGCCTCGGGCCAAAAGCACCCCCAACTCAAATCCTTACTGGCACATAGGCACGCATACAAACATGCCAATGCACGCATCGCTACAACTACTTAAAAAGAGCCCCGGGGGAAACCTCAACTCTTTTGAGCTGCATACTGCTAAGCTGCAGATAGAACTCACAGACGAACAGGCATTCCAAAACTTGCGCCCGCACAACACATAAAATCCCACCCTAGGATTTGCGGTTTAGGATTTAGGGTCTACGGGTTGGGGCCCAAGGTTCAACGTTCATTGGGGCCGAATAGGGGACGTATAGCCCCAGTTATGACCTACTTGCTAAGCCCCTTGAGCCGTCAAGTGGGGCTCATATGTACTTCAGATATGGTAGGATTCTAACTTATTCTGGTTACACCATATGTCTCACCTACACCCACCCATCTCCCCAAGGCCCCATTTATACACTCTCCAACAAAGCAGTGCAGGTGCTTATGAATCACCGAATGGCTTAGGTCATCCCACCCATTACCGCAACAGGCGCCACAAAACGAAACGCAGTTCAAATAGCCCCTAAATGAAATCCCCTGTCCCCTAAACCCCAAACCCTGAAACGTGCTAAAGTATAGCTGAGAGAAGATAGAATATCACTTAGGACGACCCCCCACCCTGTAATAGTGGTATAATAGGAACATAAGAAGACCCTAATATAATCCTTATTATCCATAATAGTCACTATTACTGGGTGGGGGGTCCACCTAATATAGTAGTTTCCATTTTCTTTTCCATTATCCCAATTCAACCCCTATAACATCCCTATATAGCCCCATTATCATAGTTTCCATTTTCTTTTCCATTATCCCAATATGACCCCTAGAAGATAGAGTATCACCTTCAGACCTGAATCTTTGAATAACATGTGGACAACCCATTGGAAAAGAACATGCACAATAGCATGGAAAGTTGGACCATAAGGGTGTCTCATCCTTGCTTAATTAATGTAGGGGCCAGAAGAATTACAACTACTCTTGCCTTGGAACCACCTTCTCATGACTGTGGCAGAACATGCCCACAACCATATTCGAACTAGACAAGCCCCTAGATTCAGCCGTTAACCCTGAACTGCGAGTGGGCCTCGCGAGCGGTCGCGATCATCGTCCCCGCCCTTCTTCTCCTCTTTCTCCCGGTGCTCTTCTGGCACATCCTTGCGGAAGACCCAGTTCAAAATTGTGGGCACAGCAGTTGGTCGGGTGAAGGTATGGGCAACAGCACGAGCTCTCAGGGTTTAGGGTTAGGCTCTGGTGTTTTTCTGGATTCTCCTAGCAACCCCCCCCCCCCCTCACACCCAAAAAAAAAATACTAGATCCCATCTATGTACTTTCTACGTCCAGTGCACTTGTTCATCGCTCTTACAAATCACAACAAAAAGCCAAGTGCCCGCCCAAAGAACTGCCCCTAATCTTCAGCACCCCCCTGCCCCCTGACATTTCCAGCACTGCCTGCAAGTTCACATATATGCATATGAGCGGTCATGCTTAATACTAGGGATCGATCATCAAGTTCCTTTTATGGGGGATCCCAAAACTAGGGGTTTCTTTCTGGGGTTTCCTAGAATAAGCAGTAAAGTACTTTGGGGTCCATTTTGGGGTGCCCTTATTCTGGGAAATTACCTCATTAGATTAGCGCGCCCTTCACGTTAGACCGAGCACCACAAAGCCTCGCTGCTCAGGCACCACATGCTACACTACCTACCGTTCAGACCAGTTTTCGATTTTGACCTAACGCAAACAGAATCAAAGAGCACTCTAAAAGCAGCCCTAGGAGGGTAAGTGCTCTTTGATTTCTTGGGTTTATATCCCTGTTATGGTCATAAAATCCTAACCTGGCTCAGACTTCGCCCTCTCCTCAGTTCCTCGTACCCAAAACCCTGCTGGGGGGGGTGGGGGGGGGAATTGTTCTTATACCCTACTCATTTTTGATCGTACATAACTTTATGTCCAGTATCTTCTATCTAGACAAGTAGACGGGTGAAAATAGGAGTAGGGTGTTGGAGCTGGGCTTCGCCCGGAAAAGGTCAACCTTTTAGGTACAATAGGATTATTATCTATCAGTTTGTATGTATGCATATACATAGATCATATATGTATACATCTAACAAAGGAATTCGACCCACAGACTGAGTAGCAGCCCCTATATGATCCCCAATGACAGGGCAATTTTCATACCCTAAACCCTAAACCCTGAACCCTAAAACCTAAACCCTAAAACCTAAACCCTAAAGCGTGTTGTCATTTTCAGAACCCCGAACTCGGCCCGAGCAGTAGTTTCCTTTTCGTCTCCCATGCCTTCACCCGCGCCTAACAATCAACACGCAAATCCTCTGCATACCTCTATAAACCTAAACCCTAAACCCTAACATATTCATTCATTAACCCAGCCTCTAGAAACCTAAACCCTAAACCCTAACATATTCCTTCACTAACCCAGCCTCTTTAAACCTAAACCTTAAACCCTAACATATACCTTCATTAACCCAGCCTCTGTAAACCTAAACCCTAAACCCTAATATTTACCTTCATTAACCCAAACCCTTAACCCCCGACTCCCGATCTGAGTCTACTGCTCCGCCAGCCATAAGACGTCCGAACATGGTCCTCACCTCAGGGGTCTCTGGGATTTAGGCATGTACTTTCCCAGATTCAGAAAGGCTTAAACAGGGAATATAGGGCTTTAGACCACTTTGATAAATGGGTGGCTTCTATAGGGTTTGAGTTGAATATCTATACCTCTAAGAGGATCATCCACTTTCTGCTATGGATCTTCGCATCCCCAAACCAAAATACATAGGCCCTAAACCCCAAGCTCGAAATCGCGAGCTTTCTCAACGAGAAATCTTCAGGCCCACCTTGTGTGAGGATTACCAACCCTAAACCCTAAACCGCGTGTGAGGATTACCAAAGGTCGAGGCCACAAAAGGGTTTTATGGCTCAGGGGCTTGGGCCTGAGGAGACTCTAGGGTTTAGGGTTTAGGGCCGGGCTACTTTAGAAAGTATAGTCCCCCTTAAGTAGATAGAATATGGGGTACTACTAGGGGGTTATATGGGGATAATGGAAAATAAACATGGAGACTACTATAATGGGTTATGTAGGGTATAGAATATAGGGTATATGGGAATCTTATTATGACATACCCAAAGCTATATTCTATCTACTTAAGGGAGGCTATAGTCATTTGTTCGGGGTCTGTGGTTTCTCCTGGCGGAGCTCCGGCCCTATCTAGTAGATCTAATACCACCTGGACCCCAGCAGCGGCTAGAACGATGGCCCTAAAACGCCAAAAAAGAGCCGAAAAGACAATCATTCTACCTAGACCCTCCTCCTACCCTCTACTAGGGCCTAAGCACCTACTATTAGGGACCATATATCCCAATTAAGGGCACAAGGAGGGTCCTGGTACAAAGCTTGGGCTTTTGCGGCTTCTGGTCTGGCCGCTAAAACATTTGAAAAATGTGTGCATATAGGGCCCCGTATTAAAGCCATTAGGGATACCTAAACCCCAAAAGTATGCAAAATAATAACCCTGAACCCAGAATAACAGCCATAAAGGCCATCATTTCATATACTTTTGGGGTCCAGGTCATATTAAATGTCCCAGGAGCCTAGCCAGGCTTTAAGAGCCTGAGGAGTGCTAAAGCCTTATAGGGGTTATAGCGGGTATAGGGGTTATATGGGGTTATACAGGGATTATAGGGGTTATATGGGGTTACATAAGGGTTGTATGGGGGTTATATGGGGATTATATAGGGGTTAGATAGGGATAATGGAGAATCAAATGGAAAAGAAAATGGAAAATGAAATGGAAACTAGGGGAATATAGTCCAGGGATAATGGAGAATCAAATGGAAAAGGAAATGGAAACTGCTATATGTAGGGTTATGTAAGGATACGTCACGCTGCAGCTAAGTGACAGCGTCAGACGGCTTCCTCGCCGACTCGAGGTACACCTTGAAAGGTGCGAGAACTTCCCCCTTTCTCTTACTGCAATGCCATCTGACAGACACAGCCCCCACATCCACAAGCGGCAGCGTTTCCCAAAATCGCACCAAATGGGGATCTGTATTCGGGGGGTTTCTGGGGCATCAACATGATCGCACGAACCTCAGTCCGGCTTGCAACAGGGTTGCTGAGTGTAGCAAAGGACTGCGACCTACAAAGAGCAGCAGTCTGGATACTCTACCTGAACTCTTCGGCACAGCTCCTCTCCTACGTGGAGGCCACATCCACAGAATTTACAGGTCCAAGTGTATCTCATGGGGACTTCGCGGAGAGGGACTGTGCAGAAGGCTTCAGGCAAGCCTATCTCATGCCACTACGCTCCTACCGATGCAATCCAGCACATGCCAGGACGAGAGTTGAACGGGTTCTTAGCTCAAGCCCGTGAACGCATACATCGCATCTTAGACGGCCGCTGTCACAGAACCTGTGGCTGCCGTGGGTACACGTGCCGCATGGGCCCGTATTTATTTATGGTACAACTGCGCTTTACAAATCATACAGTTTTGGATAGTGCATATGAATATGGGGTCCTTCATTCAACGTGGTGTTCCTCGGTGCACAGAAGCCTATCGTCCATCTTTGGTTGTAAGCTAGAAGCACTCCTCTTAGAGCAAAGCCTGCTGCTACGGGCCGAGTTCTACGCAACTCTATGTACCCCCATCCCACAGAAAATGCGTCGTTCACTTGCGGGTTATGAATCAAGACCCTCCTAGTACCCTTCATTGGGGCTATATGGCCTCTAATAGTGGGTACTTAGGCCTCAATAGAGGGTAGTTGGAGGGTCTAGGAATGGTAACTCTATCAGCCACTGCTTCAGCAAAGATTTGTGCAGATGTAAAGCGCAGTTGTCCTTCCACTTTACCACAGCACCGACAGGGGTTCTCGAAAGTAGGGTCACTTTTGAAAGGTTTATCTTGGGGCGGAACCTTAAACCCCTAAACTCTAAATCCCATAAAGGGGGTAGAGAAGCGGGCCCCCCACCTTCGAGATCTAGTTACGCACTACCTCGTGACCTAAAATACCAGGAGTTTCGAGTTTGGGATTCAAGGATACCCCATGCATTTTCGGGGATAGCAAGGCTACAGAAGCCCTAACCCATTCACTTGGAGCTTCAGCGCAGTTGCAGGCAGACTATGAATGTATTTCTGAACCGGCGATAAGCCTCTTAGCCTCTTAAGGCCTCAAGTATGAACTGAAAGACTGTAAGTAAAATCTAAACCCCTAAACCCTAAACCCCTAAACCCTAAATGGATGAGAATTACCCTGAACCTCCAAGTAAGGGCAAGGTGGCAAGCTCGGTTCAAAAAATGGACGGATTCCACAAAGGGTTTATATCGGCGTTACATAGGGGTACATAGGGTTTCAGGGTTCCCAAGATCAGGAGGAATGTAAACCCATGATTAATACACAACCTCCTTTTAAGGCCTTAATATTAGGATCCCTATTGTAATCTTTATTAAGGGGCGGGGGCTTATTAATCAGGGGTCTGGGTCCATACTCAAGATCATAGTCTTGTTGGGGTACAACGGTGACACTTAGCAGATGGGAGCTTCGGAGAGACAAGGCATAAGCCAAACGTAGGATTTTTTGCTGGAGAACGGTTGTCCCACTTGAGGATTATACAAGGACTGCTTGGGCCGTTGCACTGTGGCAAGTGTTGCTCTAAGGGGGAAAGGCATGAAGGACTACTTTGAGGATCCCATCCATGTCTAAACCCTACCCAGCCTAAACCCGAAACCCTACGCCTGGACCCTAACACCTAAACCCTAAACCCTAAACCCTAGGGGGGACCCTAAACCGAAGAGCAAACTAAGCTGGAACCAGGTCTTCGGCTCCCCTTCCCCTACCTTTCTTGAGGGGCGAGAGTTTCTTCAAAATCTCCCTACGTCCAGAATAGAAACCCACATACATCCCTTATCATCACCCCGTATTCCTGGGTTTTTAGGGGCACCCTTATTTTGAGAAACTTCCATCTATCTGAGCCCTCGTTGAGGCCGACCCAACGAATCCTGAGGGCCCAAGAGCTCAAATGCACCAGTCAGATTGTATAGTCGCTGCCTAAGGTCCTAGGAACTTTTTGGGCCTTCACTACCTGGTACCCCACTACTATTCAACCCATATTCCTTCATAATTTATGAACCAGTCAGATTATATAGTTGGAGCCTACCAGCCCAAGTGTTTGGGAGCTTGACCTTTTAGGGCATGCGAGAGGCGTGGGTATTGTATAATCAGACCCCAATATACTATTGAATCAGTTACTATTGTCCTCATGATTGAGCCCCCCCAACAAAAAATTAAACTTCTTAAATGCACAGCTCAGGCTTCGATTTGATTGGCACGTTGCTACTTTCGCAATGAACCAAATGGAATGCTGCAAACATTTCAGTCATCATGCATCTTAGGTCTTTATGCTTCTGTGGAGAGGGTTGCAACATCTCCTTTCTTGGGTGCCTCGCCTTCCTGGATCGCAGACCGTCGGCCCATTTGCTTTCCAGCATCCCGCAAATGATCCATACGCGTGGATCGTTTTCAAAAATCGCATACCCTTGGGGACCCTAGGGGTGTGGGAGTTACAAAAGATTTAGGACTAAGGGTTTAGGAGCAGTCTCTCTACTCAGGCTACACTCCCGGAAACTAACATGGAAACCCAAAGAGGGCCCAATAAAGACTACAGTCCTTCTAAAAGGGTACTAAATGGGTTTCCATGTTAGTTTGGGGGAGTGTATCAGGACAGTTTTGTGAAACGCCCATCTGGCACAGTTGAGTAATGTTTTTTGGTGGTTAAACCTAGTAAGATGATATTCCGTACATAAAATACTATACTATACCCCAAAAGGAGGATAGAATCTTACTCTATCTTGGGTACCATAGTATCCCCAAATAAACCTAAACCCTAAACCCTAAACCCCTAAACCCTATTGGGTACCATAATATCCCCAAATAAAATACTACTCAGTTGTGATTCCTTAGTCAGGAAACCTCGGTCATTTGGACCCTCAATGGGCTGTAGTCTAAACTACTAGTATCCCCCTGAATAGCCCTTATAAGACTCCCCTATATGATCCCCTACATAACCCGCTTTTAAGGAGTTGAGACCCTAAACCCTAAACCCTATACTATAGGTTGAGGTTCTGTAGAATTCCTTTACGCATTCCCTTCTCAGAAACAGACAGCTCTAGATTCGAGACTGCAGCTATGAAGCTCATTGGCCAGCAGCGACTGTATAATCCCAGGTTTAGGGTTTCCCAAAGGGTCCAAAGTACTTATATGGTACAAAGTATGGTTTCTGTGGTAGTAACTTCCCTTATGGTTTGGGTAAGTATTCCCTATATTGGTACTTAGGACCCTTTGGGTTTAGGGTTCAGGGTTTCAGGGCATACAGCGTTTTCGCTGCATGTTCGTTTCATGACGCATTTCTCTAGGTTGTTTTTTTCGTGTCGTCTTTCTTGTTTGCCGTCTTTCTTTGCCTATCTCCCTCTCTCACACACATATACACACCCGCGCCCTCGCTCTCTCTCTCTCTCTCTCTCTCTCCTCTCTCCTCTTCTCCCCTCTCCCTCTCCCTCTCTCTCTCTCTCTAAATGCTTCTCTCTCTCTAAATGCTAACGCTGAGAAAGCATGGTGAAGAAGGCTTCTGAGGGGCGGGGGCATGCGGGCACTCCACACCGAAAACCCCACACCACAAATCCTATCGCCTGCATCCCTAATTCTAAAGAAACTTGCCCTCAAAGAAGTGCCCGAACCTGTACAAAAAGGGCCCTGACCTCTGCATCAAGTTTCAGTGCCAGCCGCGCTATAGCCTGGCCATAAAAGGGACCAGGGATTATCGAAGGAGAACCAAATTGAAAAGTGAAACATGATAGCGCAAGTGAGCTTTTAGGGGGGGCTTCCGGGGTTTGGGATGTAGGGGTTTAGGATTTAGAGGCCCAAGAAATTGGAACAAGGTTTTTCAGCCATATCCTACCTTGGAAATGATCAAAAGGCCCAATGTTCCTCATGATTCTTCCGCTGAGGGCCCAAATATCTGATAGTCACTTTCTTACCCAAACCTCGTAGTGCAGCTATTATTCCCCAAGCCAAATGGAAGGAACATGGAACATGACATGGCAAAACGGGGTCATGTAGAGGTTTATAGGGATTAGGGATGCGAAGTAGGGTTGTGACCGTGTTTTTGGGTGCGTGCATGCAGGGTTTTCTGGGAAAACATGTGAGTGTATCCCATAAATCTACCATACATGGGTTTGGAACTCAGGGTCAGGGCTCGAATCCAGAAACCCTAAACCCAATCCCGAAACATCAATTCCTAATCCCTGAAGCCCTGAACCCGAAATCAGGATGCTTAGGGTCTTCTCCAGTGGAGTGTGTTTGGGACCAGCGGCCGTCAGGTTCGATTTCAAATCCCCAGATGACATTCGGCATTTGTTTTGCGAGGAGCTGCTTCTTTTAACGTCCAATACCCTGGTCCCTACGACATGGGTTGCATAGAAACCACGTCACCGTTTAGCTCTTCGCGAAGCAGATTATCAAACGTCCAAGCGACACGCCTGCCCTGGAGTTGGGCCCGCGTCGGTAGTATGTAGTATGCGCGGGGCTATTTCACCACCTACTTGTGATTTGAAGCATATTATGTTCCTTGCTCCAAATCGTTGTTCACCAAGTCCTGGGCGTTGTCGAGTGTGATTGAGGTTCTCAACAAGCTGTATTGGTTCTGACAAGTCTCTGAGTGCTGACTCGTTGTGTGGGCACGGTGACTACCCTCAACCCTGAACCCTAAACCTGCTCCCACACTTTAGGCTTGAAATGAACTAGATTGAAAAACTATAGAAGGGAAGTCCATCTATGATTGGATTTTTATGGCCAGCCAAGTTGGACACCAGAATATATACTATGACCAACTTGCCTAGGGAAACCTACATTCTTTAGGGTTTAGGGTTTAGNNAGGGTTAAGGGTTTGAGGGTTTTAGTGTGTAGGGTAAGGGAACCTCACATGCACGCACCAACGCAACACGGTCAAAACCCTACTTCACATCCCGAATCCCTAGAAGCCCGTACATGACCTCAGTTTGCCATAGCATTTTCCATGCCATTTTCTATGTTTTCCGACTATCACCATAAGCAGAACCCTACTTACCCTAGACCCCAAACCCTACACCC